AGTGACAAATTTGTCAGGGCCAAATAAAATGATTTCAGTTTTGTCAGGATTTAGGTGGAGAAAGTTAAGAGACATCCACTCTTTGGTCTAATCACTCATGGAGATAGGACAGTTCATTCAGGTTATTGGGTTCAGCAGAGAAGTAGATGTGTGTATCATCGGCATAACAGTGGTATGACATGTCATGGAAGCGGCTGAACAAATGACCCATAGGAAGCATGTACAGGGAGAACAGGGTTGGACTGACCCCTGAGGGACACCACATAGCAGAGGAGCAGAGGTACGATGGTATCAAAGGCTGCAGTCAGATCAAGAAGAATAAGGATGGAGCTTTCATCTTTGTCAGCATGCATAAGGATGTCATTACACACTCTCAGCAATGCTGTCTCAGTGCTATGCTTTTTTGCGAAAACCAGATTGAAATTGTCAAAGATTCTATGATTCTAAAGGGAAGGTTGGAGATCTATAGCTTTCTAACTGGTCTGGATTGACATAGTTTTTTTTTTAAGAAGTGGCTGAACACTGGCAATTTTAAAAAAGTCAGGTACGGACGCAGATGTGAAAGAAGAATTGATGATAAAAGTGGGCTGGGACCAAAGACAGGTCATGAATGTGAACATGGCTGTGATAGTTCATTCAACAGAGTTTATGTTCTCATCTTTTTGTACATTTTTATCCTAACTTTTCCATGTTCTGCACAAAGTCTGAATAATTTTAATCAATGATTAACATAAAATCATCTGTAATCAGGGACAAGGTTAGGGGTCTAACCCTGATCACTGACCATATAAGGGTCCAGGGGGAGTAGGTGGGGACAGAGGCTTTGAGTTCTGAAAAATGGATGTGGACAGGGTCAACAAGAGGCCCAGTATACTGCAGCCTGACAGCCACAGGAGCAGCACTCTGATTGGCTTGTCTGTTTTATCAATAACATGGACATTAAAAAAATGCTCATGTTTACATGATAACAAATAATTGATTAGTGTGCAATGTCTTTATTCCTCAGACACTGAAGACTCTGTGGCTGATGCAGAAAGTGAAGACAACAGTGACGCCAACTCAAACGAAAGCGTGAACACTGGCGCTGAATCTGCGGCTGACGCTGACAGTGACGCTGACATTGACACTGATGCTGACGCTGACAGTGACAGTGACACTGACGCTGACAGTGAGGCTGACGCTGACGCTGACAGTGACACTGACGCTGACGCTGACAGTGACACTGACGCTGACAGTGAGGCTGACACTGACGCTGACACTGAGACTAACGCTGACTCTGAGGCTGACGCTGACAGTGAGGCTGACACTGACTCTGAGGCTGACTCTAAGACAGACTCTGAGGCTGAGGTTGACTCTAAGGCAGACTCTGAGGCTGAGGCTGAGGCTGACTCTAAGACAGACTCGGAGGCTGAGGTTGACTCTAAGGCAGACTCTGAGGCTGAGGCTGAGGCTGACTCTCAGGCTGACTCTAAGGCTGAGGTTACCACAGCAGAAGAGGATGATAGCAATGACGACAGCCTGACTCTGGACGACTTAGAGGAGGACTTGAAGGAAGGCAGCGAGGAACCAGAGGGGGGGGAACAAGAGGGGATTACAGACAAAGACAGGTCAGAGGAGGTTGAACCAGCAGAGGTTGAGCAGGTGATCACAGACGAAGACACGTCAGAGGAGGTGGAACCAGCAGAGGGTGAGCAGGTGATCCACAGACGAAGACACGTCAAGGGAGTGGAACCAGCAGAGGGTGAGCAGGAGGTGATTACAGATGAAGACATGTCAGAGGAGGTGGAACCAGTAGAGGGTGAGCAGGAAGTGATCACAGACAAAGACAACAGTGACGTGGACGATGACAGCGTGATCGAGGACACAGACATTGAAAACCTGAGTGATGGAGACAGTGAGACTGACATTGACAGTGAAACTGAGCCTGACATTCAGGATGACAGTGACATGCTGGACTCTGGGGTCACAGAGGAGGAAGAGGAGGTGAACGATGACGACTCTGCAAAGACAGATAATGAGGAGAATGAGGAGCAGAGTCTAGACAGTCTCGACTCCACTGAAGGTAAACTGACACTGATGAGTCCAAACAAATGAGAGACAGGATAGCAGCACTGTGTTCAAAACAAGTCTTTCATATTAAATATTAGAGTATTTGAATTTAAAAAGTAGGGAACCACAAGCTTTAGGACTTTAAATATAAGAAATCAGAGGTGAAGATGAAAAAAGTAGAGGATGTAAAATATAGAGATGAAGATAAAGATAAATTCAGAGATCAAGATTCAAGATAAAGAAATTAAAATCAATAAAGTGTATTTTTATCTTTGTATTTCCTGTATTATTTGTATTGTGGAGTTTTGTCCAAGTAAAGTTTCCCACAGGGACAATAAAGTGTAAATCTATCAAAAGAATTCTGGGGACACAATGACGAACTCAAAGATCAAGATGAAGATGTCAAAATTAAGAATTTAGATGTCAAAATATTTAATCAAAGGTCAATTGGGAGCATTCAATGCATTACATTTAAACCAAGCAAAAGCTGAACACACTATAAAACACTTAATGTGTCAGAATACAAATGAAAAAGGTTCGTCGGCAGTCAGAAAATGTTTCCTGAGGATTGATTCTATTCTTGTTACAGCAACACCAGCCGACCAACCAGACCAACCAGACCAACCGGACCAGTCTGACTCCACGGCTGCCCCCACAGACAGTAAGGGTCACATCCTACAGTGACATCACACTGCTTCACAGCCGATTACAGTTCAGACCAGTCACAGCGTTAGATCCACTTGAACCCATGTTGCAGCATGAAGAGATTATATAGAAAGAATTTACAATTGAGTCAAACTGAATCTTTTTAAATCTCTGTTTTCTTCTTTCAGCCATGATATAAACTCTTGGCCTCTGAACTGTGGAAGCTCAGCGACTCCAGGTATTCTCACACAGTCTGTCAATGGAAACTTAAGTGATATTGATCCTGTGCTGCATTCAGGTGAAATGGTGAAGAAAGTCACTGCTGACAAGAGAGAGACCTCCAACTTTTTTCATTAAAAAAAGCTGCCTCAGTCAGAGATAAAGAGGATCAGGACTGTCTTTATTAAGCAGGTTTTCTTCCTCAGGCTCTGTGTGTATTCACATAAAGGTACTTTCACTGCATGTTGCCTACTCTATTATAATGGAGAAGTATGAAGGATAATGTTATAAAAATGATTACAGCAACAAGAGAGGAATGCTGGTAGGAAATCATCTCAACACACACTTCTACAGCATATGTAAACACTATAAAAAGGATACATGGCTAAATCAAATTGAAATTAATTATATGGACTGAAGGGTTAGGGTTAGGGTTAGGTTAGACTAATACATTTCCTGCTTCTTTTTTTCTATTAGCTGCTCTACCAGCAGCAGCTGCTGTGTAACATTTAAAGCCTTAATTTTACCTGATGCAAATGTTGTCACTACAACTTAACTATGAAATTAGTGATGTAATTTCTAAGAGACAGGCTTGAAAAAAACATTGTGATAAAGTATACAGTTAGCTCTGTCACATCACTAATGTTTACAGTTTTTATATGACAGTCTTTCTCAGTTGAGAATCAATATCTGTCATAAAGAATAACCCTTCCTTAGCTCCGCCCCTTTCTGCTCTGTGCTCCAATTACAGTTCGGTCAGAATCTCAATTAACTTCCTCCTTTCCTGTACTTAGATATGCTATATACTAAGCTAATCTATATCTAACTAACTTGCTAATCCATAGACATATATACATAGTAATTGCATTGACTGCATCTTGGACCGGGACAGATTGGACTGTAAACAATACAGTAAACGGAGGAGTTTATGATACATATGGAGAAAGTGTATGTAGGCTTTATAAACTAAATGACTTATGTGTTGGAAAATAATCCATAAAATAAGCGTAATAATTGTTGGTTCTCTGTCTTCTTTGTTGTTGTTAGCTAGGTAATTGGTTATAACTGGTTAGCTGACAAGGCTTGCTCAAAGAGGATTAGGCTTAGGAAGGGTTAAATAGTAAAAAAAAATGTATCTGAATCTCCTCTGGAGAACATTACTGTGGTGATTTAGCGTGGTTGTAAGAGCCACATTGGTAACACTGAAAAGTCAACATAGCTCACTAACACTTTGATCAGGATTCCAATGGTATTGCTTATAAACTGATTGTTTTGTGCTTTCTCTCCATCAGAGCCAACCCCACAGTGAAATACAGTTGCCATGACAACATCATCAGCAACAACAACAACAACAAGCTAAACTGCAAATAAACCTGTAGCTTCCTGTTTGTTTTCGCTCCTCAGCTCATTCCTGATTGGTTGTCTCCATATTCTTCAAACTCTGGCTGCTTTAGTTTTCCACCAATCAGCCGTCTGCATGTTTAATGTGTGTTACTGTCTGCCTGTCTGTCTGCCTGCCTGCAGTCTGCCTGCCTGCTGATCTGAGATCTGCTCTGTTTACACATTGAAGTGTACATACATTAATGACTGTCCACAGAGGAACTGCTAATAAAGTTTGAACTGTCAAAATCTTCCCTCACTGAGTCTGTCTGAGTATTGATCATAAACTGACTGATTGATCATTGATTTGGACCTATGAAGTGATTATTGATCCGTCATTTCAAATGGAGGTTTCAGGTTAAAGTAGAGGTGAAGGTTCTTCCAGAGAACATTTGAACAGCTTCAACAGATTTCAACAACGTGAAACTTCAGACTGCTGCAGAAAACAAAAACAAATGAAACTGACGATATAAACAAATTTGTTTACAATATAACTTGTGTACAAACATGAGCCATTCATATACAGTACGTACTACACAATACACACAAACATATTGATATTCAGTACATCCTGATACATCAACAACATCAGGTTAACAGAGTAAACAGGAAGTGATGTCATGTAGCCTACACAAAGGTTTCTGTATGAAAACACCTGTCAGTAAATGGTGGGCGGGGCTACCTGTTAACCAGTAATAATGAGTTTTAATGTCTCCCTTTTCTAGAAACCAGTGAGTGCTGGTTGGACCAGACTCCTCAGTGTTCCAGTCAGCTGCTGCTAGTCCACATTCTTTAACAGTTTGTTCACACCTTCCAGTACACAATGTTGCCCTTTGTTTCACCTCAGTTCAGATCAGACCCAAAAGAGGAAACACAGACACAGTAAACATAATGTAAGACAACTGCAGCCACAGTAAAGACAGATAAAGTGCTGAGCTGTACAGGAAACACATTTCAGATCAATGAAAACTGAATCTAGAAAATGTGACCTGGGGGGAGAATTGTTTGGATTATTATATTATTATGGATTATATCTGCTATCAGTGATTCCACAATGTTTCCCAGCTGATTTTATACATTCAGATTTGCACGTCAACAAAACAGTGCAAAGGGGAGGAATTATTCTGTGAGGGATCTGTAGAAGAGCACCATTCAGTATCAACCTTAAAAACCAGTAACATCTGCAGAAGACACAACTTTCTCTGACCCTTCTTTAATCATCGAGGTACCTGTACCTCTCTGAAACTTCTACTTTGTCAATAGGTTTTTGGTTTAAAAAACATTCAATTCAATTCAATTTTACTTGTATAGCACCAATTCATAACAAAAGTTATCTCAGGACACTATTTTTGGTTCATTATGAAACTGTGGCAGGACAAAATTAGTCAGTTTTTCAGTGAAAGAAATTATCATTCCCACTAGTCACAAATCACATTAAAATCACAGTATCTGTCAAAATAATCACAATGTGAAGCACACATTGTAAACACAGTTCTGACTGAGGATTTTTGGCTCTCTCCTTTGCTCAATGTCTTGCTGTTTGCATGAGGGCGGGGCTGGGCTCTTCTACACACACAGAGAATGTGGACAGCATCGCAGAGAGGACAAAGCAGAAGAATGAATGCCGAACAAGTCAACTTGAATGCTCGTTATCCATAATTTCGACTGAGGTGGCGGCTCATATATCGACCCTGGCACTCAACAAAAACTGACTGACTATTGAAGCATTGTCGATTTATTCCACTGGTTCGGATGTGATGATAAACTGAAAGCAACTGAAAATAACATCACAAATCAACTTTGTTTTCAGTGTGCCCAGACCCCGTTGACAAGTACCTGGAAGAGACATCCGTGCGCTACATTTCTCCAAGAGGAGCACTACAGGGCAAGGACACTGTGCCTCACAGAAGAACAGGTGGGTGTTTGTACTGTATGTCTCTTCAGGTTAGTTTTTTTTGCACTACTAATTTCTTAAATTTGACCTTTCCTAAATCCCACCACTTTTCGCTCTGTGCTCTAATAACAGTTGAGCAAGCAACAAAAAGTATCATATAGTCACATCTTAGTGACTTAGACTTAGTTAGCTAATGTTGGCAAAACACAAGGTAACAAGGTATAATCTACAAGGTAAATGGACTTATCTTGTATAGCGCCTTTCTAGTCTTCCGACCACTCAAAGCGCTCTACACTACATGTCACATTCACCCATTCATACACTGATTGCAGAGGCTGCCATGCAAGGTGCCAACTGCTCATCAGATACTAATGAATCCCATGGGTGAATTTTCACTTTATCTCGCAATTTCATTGCAAAACTAGAAATAGCTCAAATTAGCTAATTTAAGATGTGACTATTTATATGTTGCTTCTATCTTGGCCGAGGTTTTGACCTAGGCTTGCTCAACTGCTATAGGAGCATAGAGCAAGAAGGGGCAGGGCTAATGAGGGGTCAATTAGCAAGACAAGAATGAGATTAGTTATGCGCGTCGTCACTGGAAAGTCCTCAGGAGTAACTGCACACTGTGATTCAGAAGCTTGATTAACGTCACAACTGATGTCACTTTCTAGGTCCTCAGCCAGTCATTTGCTGTTCCCCATCAGGACCCCACGTGGGCCCCCCCCGAACAAAGCCAGCTCCTCCTGTACCTAACCGCAAACGGAGGAGAAGTCATTCCTCAGCTGACTGCAGAGAGAAGCAAACATGTGGTAAAACGAAACACAACACAGAGAAGGATCATCCTTTTTGTCTAGGCTCAAAGAGTATGATGACAAGAACAACCTAGGAACACGGTCATAGGCACTAAAGTGTCACAGGCACT